GTTGATCAATGTACATTTGACAAATTTATTCTACTCGATTAAATAGTAAATTAAATTCATTGAAAAACTTTTTTCGATAAGTTGAATATACAATATGTTGTATATCCGGTACGGTATGTTAGTTACATATGTTGCAAATACGGTAAGTTGCATATCCGGTATATATGTTATAAATTCGGTATTTGTTAAACTTACTGGGAGTGGATAATTATTTTTTCAACGATTTTATCTTTATTATAATTCAATAATTCTAATAATACCTTATTTTTTATTTTTCAATATATATTTAATTATTTCAATAATATACTTTTCGTTTTACAATATGTATTTAATTTATTAATCATTTGAGTAATTTGAATAATATTATCATTAGTTATTTTGTCAGTTATACACTTGACACGTCATTTTTCAATATTTATTTGATTTATTTAATTATTTGAACAATATTATCATGAATTACGTTGTCAATTATTTAGTTACGATCAATGTACATTTGACAAATTCATTCTACTTGATTAAATAGTAAATTAAATTCATTAAAAACTTTTCCAGTAAATTGTATATATGGTATATATCTGGCATATGTTGTAAATATGGTAATTGTTAAACTTACTGGAAGTGAAGAATTATTTTTTGAACGATTCTATCTTTATTATAATTCAATAATTTCAATAATACATTACTTTTCATTTTTCAATATACATTTAATTATTTCAATAATACAATATTTTTCGTTTTTCAATATGTATTTAATTTATTAATCAATTGAGCAACTTGAACAATATTATCATTACTTATTTTGTCAATTATTTAGTTTTGATCAATGTACTTGATTAAATAGTAAATTAAATTCATTGAAAAACTTTATTGGTAATTTGCATATACGGTATGTTGCATATCCGGTACGGTATGTTCGGTGGAGCATTAGCGAGACAATAATATGATCGCAAGACTGTTGAATAATTCAATAAATCTTAAACTATTTTTTTTAACAGCTACAATTTCTAGACTAATAAAAATACAACAAATACAAAATTCGTGCAATGCGCGTGTCAACTACTAGTGATTGTAAGTATTTACGTGAAAATTCAATGGCCAAATTAATAGAAGATTTTATTATTATTTTATTATTTTTGGTTCCCTTCTGTGGATGTTGATGAAGAAGAGTACGTTTCTGGTGGATGTTGATGAACAGTAACACTTGCATATGCCATATATATATTTTTTAAATTTTTGGTACGTTTGGTTTCTAAAGCACACGTGAGTAATTATGCTATAAATTTTCGGTTTAAGAAAATGCATTGAATGTGTTAACATTATTGGATAATGTATTTTTATGCTAGCCAATTAACAAATATTTTAAAATTCTTAACTCATTGAATCCATTATGATAAATTAAATTATTGATAGCTCAAATTTGTAATATGTATATACAACTTGTGTAAGTTCCAAGGACGAATTATATATAATTATGATTGAGTAAGTAGGTATTGTTAGTTGAAATATAATGATGCAAGAATCTCAGGCAAGTGACGCAATGAAGTAGTCGCACAATTCACATAGAACAAAGTTAATGTAAAAAATGCGTGAAGTTCCATATAGAATTCAACAACGTGGTTGATTATAAAATTAACCTAAATGAATGAAATTACAATTGATCCTTGTAGTGAGCACTCTATTGTTAAAAAGAATTTGTTGACGCAAAAGGGGTTGTTCGTCGAGAAGCTATCAGATGTCGTCAAGCTTGGTAACATCATCTCTTATTCTCCCGATTCAATTTCAATGGAGTAATCCGGAATACAAAATCTAATCGTCATTACTGATGTTGTTTCTTTGGAGCAAGGCAAGTTTGAAATTGAGCATCTCCAAAAGATAGGTTACTTTCACTCATGGTCAATGATTTTTATACTTCACTTTTACCATTAAACTTCACAAAATAGTCATCCAGGTAGCCAACTTAGTTTTGTTGGCGATATGACATGGTGAAATGGTTGTTGATTGAATGACAATGTAATATTTTAAGTTTAATTCGTATGAACCTAATTAAATTCTATGAAATTGAAGTAAAAAAGAAAATGAAGAAAAAGGAGAAAAATGAAATTCGAGGCAAATGATTAACACTTTTTCCTTAAGACAAAAATGCCCCACAACTGTGCTAATGGATTATGGCATTTGTCTGTCAAGATACAACATATATAACTTGCGGTAAAAGCACTTCAAACCACAAGCAATTGCGAACTCGAACGAAATTCTTCTCTCTACAAGAAGATGATTTTTGGAATGATTTTTTGAAAGTTTTTGCAAGAGTTTTTGATACAATGCTCAATGCAAATAATATGAGATGCATAATGAACGTTTAAAGGGTCCTATTTATAGAAGATAAGGGGTTGTGAGTGAAATGTCACACCCCAAATTCAGCAACCTTCACGAAGGGTAGCATCCCTTGTTGTTGCTGGCCTCTCGCTCAAGTGACGGTGACATCTGGTCATCAGAAACTCCATTTCCTGCTAGTCACTTGTGCGACGGTCTCATAGACATCTTAATCAACTTTAAAAGGGAAAAATAGTAATTTAATACTTCCCCCATAAAATAATTAAAAACTTAAATCAAAAACAAAAAATAAAAAAGGAAAAAAAACTATCTTTCTCATCGACCCCACCCCACCCCAACCCCCTCAACCCAAAACTAGAAAGTTGCCACCGTCATGCCTATCGCCATTAAAGAGATGGTGAAATTATTTGTAGTTCATACATATCATATAAATTCATCTACAGAGCTTATCAACTACAGAAACATCAGGATTCTACAGAATAAACACTTTTGGGAATAAAAATAGCACTAAGAATTATAACTACTACAAGCCTTTCAAAATCCCCAAAATAGTTAACCTTCCATGAGCACATTGGCCTGGCAAGTTTGCCTTCACCTCATCTAAAAGACTTTCCAAATTACACCAACTCAGCAAGCTCAACTTTCAAATTTTATTACCTACACATTCTTTCTTGCTCTACCCATTTTTTAGCTCCAGTTGAAGTTACTGGTACCAACAGTAGCGGCGTCACATTCGTGTTTCACAGAACACTGCCATTGCTGTGGGCACGGGTGTACCAATATCCATCGCCACAAAACACTGCCACCCGTTGTGAGCACAAGTGCACCAATATCCACTGCCACAATAATATTCGCCTGCGACCCAAACATGGGTGACATCCAATTGGGATACCCATTGTCACCTCCACTCTTCATACCATCAGAATTCCCCACCACAAATCCCATTGGAAAGAACCCCCAATAGTAATAATAAGCCTCTTTTCCTATCACCATAGGCGACATTGACAAAGTTTCAACTCCAGTAAATGCCCTCTTACAATTCTGGCACCTAAAACAACACCCATCATACAATCTAGGATACTCGTATAAGTTTTAATAGTAAGGATATGTTGTCCAATAAGTACTCGACCCATCGCTTCCCAAACCACCACCATTATCAGCATTACTACTATTGACGCCTTTTTTGTTGTTCGACACATTAAACAGAGGGAAAAAAATATAAATAAAAAAATTGAATAGCTATGAATCCCGAAAAAGTTCATATTGGAGGTGGGGGATGGCAGACGTCAGACGTGGTTGGATGACGTGGAGATTCTTTGTGTGAACCTATGTTTTTAAATGCAAGTGGGACAACTACAAACCTTTCAAATGCGATGGTGGCGGTGGTCGACGGAATGGTGATGGCGGTCGTGAATTTCTAGTTTTGGGTTGAGGGGTTGGGGGTTGATAAAAAAGATCTTTTCTTTTTTTATTTTATTTATTTATTTTGATTGAAGTTTTTAATTATTTTATGGGAAAATATTAAATTATTGTTTTGCCATTTTTAAATTTATTAAAATGTGGTCAAAATTAATTTATTGAGTCAACTAATGACAAATTGGATGAAAACCTTCCATTGGGGCCGGAGCTGTTACAATTTGAAAGGTTTGGGTGACTGTTGCAACGATTGAAATGTTAGAAAAAAGTCTGCCATTGTTTGAAAGATTTTAAGCCAATTATCCCTAAATTTAAAGATCCTCTATACTATTTACAATATAATATTTAAAAATAAAAGGACTCTTGGAATCTTGAAGACATGTTTATACTTGCTCGCAAAGCCCTTCGGATATTAATATTATTATTCTATAAGGATGCCCTCCAATAAAAGTGAAATTAAAAGATAAGATATTCTCTCTTACTTCTTCTCAATACAAATAATAAGACTTTTTTTTTTTAATTGCACATGCTACAGCAAAGTAGTTGTTAGACAAGAACTAAGGGTCCGTTTGATTCAAATGTGGAATTTGGGTGGAAAGAAAACGAATTGCAGTGAATTGAATTGCCTAGAATTTGTTTTATTGAGAATTATCAATTAATTGTGTTTGATTGGTATATTTTTTCATATGAAAAACGTTGAAATTAATTTTCTATTTCTTAGTGTTCGTTTGACTTTGTTTTTCATGAAAATTGTCAATTAAAAGGATATAATTTCTTACAATTGGGGATATAATTTGTTTGGATTGCCAAAAAAAAAATGGAAACTTTTTGGTGTTCGTTTGACTTTATTTTACATGAAAATTGTCAATTAAAGGGATAATTTTATTTACAATTGGGGATAGAGTTTGTTTCTATTGCTAAAAAAAAACCTAAAAGAGGGGAATTTCAATTCAATTAAAACCAAGTAAACTAGCAAATGTGGAAAAGCAATTTGAGNTACAATTGGGTATAAAATTTATTTCTATTGCCAAAAAAAAAAAGATTGAATTTCAATTCCCACCTTTTAGGTGGGAATTGATCTTCAACTAAAACCAAGAAAATGTGGCAACGATGGAAAATCAATTCTTGGAAAAAAAGTGCCATCAAACATAGTAAAAGTGGGAAATGCATGGAAAAAAGGGCATATCAAACAGGCTCTAAAGGTTCTATCACATAATTCACTGAATTCAAGAACATGTCAATGTATTTCGTTTTTAAATAATTTTGTCATTTTATTGTGAAATTCTTCTCAATCTAAGGACATGCGCATGTGGCTAACGTTGTTTTGTATAATAAAATATACGCCATGGGACAAGTCTTGAAAAAGAAAATCATGAACATGTACATTATTTTTTATATCATTGTTTATAATGTATCACATGACAAAATATTATTGGACAGTTTTAAAAAAAATATTTTTTTTATCCATAATTTTTTGAAAACAAAGGAGACGTCAAAGTTGATGTAAGGGAGATGATGTATATTTAGCATTATTGATATTAATTTTGTTACATGTACATCTTTTTTTACATTCCAATTTATCGAATTTACATGACACAATCTCACACCACCTTTCACATTCCACACATTTAATACAACCATCATCTATAGACCACATCATTCATCGATAAAGCAAGTGGTAAAGGGCGTGGTACAAATAACTTAACTCTTATTGAAATAAAAAAAGGTGAGCGTACTTTTGTTTACTAAGGTACTATTTTCTTATTTCAGTCCTACCACTGTTCAAACCGTAAAAAAAAAGTTAAAAAAGTGGAAATTACAGAAAAAACAGGCATTTAATTTTTCAAATTTAAAAATCAGATCTTAAGTTTATTTAATAAAAATCAGGTATTAATTGAATTTATAATTAAAACCCTAGTTTATTTTCATTCCCGTGTCTCACTCTTCTCTCTCTAAACGCACTGGGTTTCAAATATTTTCCCCATTCTCTTTCTAAACCTACCCAATCACCTCCCTCAATTCTCTCTCACCTTCCTGTCGCCGTCTCCCCCGCCTCTTTCGACCACGAACCCCTCATCTTTCCGTTACTACCGCCCGTCGTCGTTACCCAACCCCATCACCACCGTCAGTCCATATCGCCGGCCATGAGGTTCAATCACGACAGTGAAACTGTGTGCGACGCGACAAAAGCTTCAATCACACCTCACCTTTCTGTCGCCGCCATCCGCTGTTATTGCCCAACCCCGTAACCACCCTCAATCCATTTCACCCCAGAAGGAGCATGAATTGCCGTGAGTTGCGACGCAGATCCACCCATTCTGGCGACTCTTCGCAGCTGAAGCACAATGACGTTGCGTTGTTGTGCCGACGATGTTTTGTGTGGTGGCGGGGTTTGTGGTGGTAGATCTAACGATTTTTGTAGCGGTGGCTGTGGTGGTGGATCGGCGGTTGGGGTGGTGTGGTGGTGGGTTTGTAGTGAAATTGGTGGTTGTGGTGGTGGTGAGGAGGAGGCGATGGTGGTGATGAAGAGATGGAAAGTACGATGTTCCTACTGGTTGTCGTGAGGTGGTTGTGGTTCTGGAGACGGTGGTTTAGCGGTAGTGGTGGTGGTTCTAGCGCGCCGGAGGCGGTGGTGCTGCCGGAGGTCGCAAGTGTTGGTGGTGGTTAAGCAGTGGTGGTGGTTCTGGCAACAGTGGTTTGACGGCAGTGGTGGTGGTTCTGGCACGCCGAAGGCGGTGGTGTTGTCGAAGGTCACAAGTGTTGGTGGTGGTCACCATTATTTGGTCGATTGTGACCATTAAATTGGTTAATTTGTGATCAATAAACAATGTGTGACCAATGGAAAAGATAAATTGTGACCATGAAATTATATGTGACCTCAAAAATTATTAATTTGTGATCGATAATTTAATAATTTGTGACTGACTAATAAGTTGTGACTTATAATATTTGTGATTTGTGAACTGTGACCTATTAATTTTTTAATTTCTGACTTATGCAAATTTTAATTTGTGACCGTAAAATAATTTGTGACCGATAATTTTCTGATTTGTGATCGAAAAATAATCAGTAACCAATTAATTTGATAAAATGTGACAAATAAATAAGTTGTGACCCATAAGTATGTATACGTGACCATGAATTATATAATTGTGGTTTTAATATATTTAATTAATTAATAAATACACGATTTTTGCAATTTTTAAACTTAATGCCAGAAAATTGATTTGGCGATAGTTAAAACCTGATCTATGAATTCTTCCCTTAAAAAAAAAAAAACAACCGAGCCCGAACC